TAGGGAAAGCCTTTAGGTATGTTAAAAGCTGAGGATGTTGTAGATATTAATGGGTTTAATCTCTGTCAAATAGACATCACTGATGTGTGTGCTTTACACGTGTAACACTCACAAATCCTCTGTTTTAAGTGCCTGTGGGTTGAGTTCCCAGTTGGAGACTTCCCGGCAGCTGTGTTCTCAGTGTGTGTGGTTCCCACAGATTCCAGCTGGGATCCTCTGGGCAGTCAGCCACTCTGACAGCAGTATTTTAGTACAGGTGTGACATCTGCATGTAATGCTGTGTAGTCATCGACCACAGTGGAAAATGACTTGTCCAATCTTGCACAGAAAGCTCTTGTGTGATTTTCTTGGGTTCCTAGTCTTGTATCTTAAAAACAGGACCATCTTTCTGTTGACCGTCACTACATCAATTACCCCTAATTATTGGGCAGGTAACGTGGAGGGTGTTTTGCAGTCTTGCATTAATCCCCGTCAGGAAAATGGTCTGATTGAAATGTGATTTCACTAGGTGTTGTGGACACAGCTTACAGAGAGGGGAAGTGGCAGCAGTACATAGGTGGAGAGGAGCATTGTTTCCAGGTGGAACTACTGTTTTCTGTGCTAGGTTGGGCACATATAGGCAGAAAACATTTATTCTGATATGCGACTAGATACTAAGGTGCTTGAGAGACTTTGCTGTGGGTTCCTCCATCCCTTTAAAATCTGTCTTCAGTCAAGTGTTCTTAGAAAATGCCACACTCCTTTGTGATATGTGACCATGCTTCCTTAATTCTATCAATTCCTATCTTTTGAGTCCTTGACCCACTTTCTGTCATACTGGTCTTTGTTGCCCTCCTGATACAACTGTCAGCTGGGTTTTTTTTGTGACTCCTTTTCATTATTTTCATGATATCTGAACTGGCTTCCATCGCTTTTCTTTTGTGAAACGGGCAGTGTATCTCCAAGGAGATATAAGCATGGAAAAGGTGCAGTGCTGCGAGAAGAATTAGAGCTGTGACCTTCCCTCCTCTTGCAGTGGCGAGCCCTCCACCTTTGCTTTTATCGCTATGTTGCTGCTCCTGGTGGAGAGCAAAGACTTGCCTGGTGTGAAGTGAAGCTTGAAAGCTTATTAAAGAGCTTACAGATTGGCCCAGTACCAATTTCTGTTCAAGTGAAGTCTGTAATTAGCCTTCTTTAAAGGGATCTTATTGCCAAATATTGCTAGCAGGGAATGGAATTCCTAAACGTGCAGAGCTGTGATGTGGGGCATAACTGGAAATATATTATCAGAGAGTGGGAGCATCCAACAGTGTATGCGGAGTGCTGAGGACATTTTAACTGTAATGCTAAAAAGAAAATTACTGTCCTTGTAATTTGGGGACCTCTTTGAGTATAGAGTGAGTCCTTTATTAAGAGCAGAACTGTTTTGAACCGCAGATTGTGGTAGTGCACAATAGCGTGCGGTGGTAGCACAGGTCTTGCTGATTTGTGAGTGCTGCAGGGGAAGGGGAGATCTAGCATGTTGTGAGTAGCTGTGGAGTGCCCTGTATGGGGAAGAGGTGAGTAGAGGAGAAGGAGAACAGGTGGAGGTGGGATATGGGTGGCTTTACCCCCAAATTAAAAACTAAATTGTCACTAAACACACTTTTGTGTATGTTATTCCTTCAGTGGTAGAAGCTCTTCTCCAGCTTCAACCATAAAGAAGAACTAGAGGCTTTCTGCTTCAGTTCTCTAAGAGCCATCCAGTCCTGCAGGAGAGGGCTCAAGTTTTTAACAGCAGTTCAGTGAGAGGGCAGTGTTCCTCAAAGTGCTCAGGACTAGTTTCTGCTGTCTGACACTGCAAACTTAGCAGCTTAAGGAAAGGCAAGCATCTATTGTCTGACATTGCTGCTTTCTTGCTCTCCAGAGCTTTTTTGAAAGCTCCCATGGTTTATAGTAACTTTTGAAACTGAAGTGTAAGTAAAGTGGTGCCCCTACAGAGAGGGGAAATGCGACGTGCTGTGTTTTTGGTTGTGCCAATGAGACTAGGAAATGGCACAGAAATAAAGGCAAGCTTTTTACACTATAAAGCCATGAAAAAATACCCTGTTGCAGACAGGTCAGGAATAAGGATATATTTGTTTTTTCCCTTTGCAGAAATGCAGAACAGATGCTTGCTGCTGGGTCTGTTAGAGAACACGCGTGTTTTCCAGGTGCCTGTTAATGAATTAACATTTATTTCCTGAACAGGTTATATTTTTTTAAGGGATATTTGGAACCACATCCTCTTATTTAAGAGAGAAGTGAATGCCTGTTTAAATCTTCAGCTTGTTTCTTCCTAGTTTTTCCTTTGTTTAGATGAATCTCCTGCTTTTTCTTCCTCCTCCCCTCGAGCTTGGGAGGAGTACAGCAGAATGGTCTTTTGCAATTACTTGTTTACCTGCACTGTGCCTGCCTTGGCATAGTTAGGGTGTTGGTGTAGAGGAGCTTCAATCAGTCACTCGAGCCACTGGAGTTTGTTATACTTTCTGGCAATGCCATGTGTATGGGGAAGGGGATGTTTTGAGAGTGGTGGCGGGTGCTTGGGACAGAGGCTGTCCTTCTGTCCCATGTTTGTGCTTGTGTGCTCGGTGACCTCCAGCAGTTGAGAGTGGTGGCGGGTGCTTGGGACAGAGGCTGTCCTTCTGTCCCATGTTTGTGCTTGTCTGCTGGAGGTCACCGAGCACACTGCTGCGAGACCTGCAGGGTGCTGTCTCTTTGTACTGTAGCAACCATGGGTTGTTTCGAATGCAGATGTTCCTCGGCTGTGAAATTGTGTGAAATGCATGTTCAGTGACACAAATCTCCTTCTCAGTCCTGGTTTAGTTTTAAATAGGATGTTACATGTTTTATCACTGTGTGTTTGTAAGTGATGTAATAGCAGGAAGTAGCTTATTTTTTGTGTATTTACTTGTGGTCTCCTCTTGATGGCCACATTACTGTATATTTTCAAAGCAGGTACAGTACCATGGGAGTATAAGTGTTTTGCCTTGTGTAGCATATAGTAAAAACTGGTCTGTTCTCCAAGGATCACTTGGAGTGTTGTCATGGCTCATTATTCATGATGGAGCTTGACAGCTCCAGGGTTAAACACACTGCTGAATACAGGAGGTAAAAAAAAAGCAGCATATTTTTGTTTGTGGCGTTGATGTTGCAGTTGAAGGAAGTGTATTTTTCTCAGTGCAAATCTGTTGCCCAAACATTTAAAACCCGTTTTCTTGTTCTTTGCTTCTTGAACTCCTCAACCTTGCTTGGTGTAAGGGGCAAATGGATTGATTGGTAGCTAAACGTCAGGACTGAGTCTTGCTGCTGAACTCCACTACTGGTTCTTATGCCTTCTTGTTACTGAAGAACTAATATTTTATTTATTTATTTAAAATTCTTATATGTAGGAACGTGACAGTATGGATTCACTGCTTGCAACTGGTAGGGAACAGTAACTTCCCTGTGTAATCAGGTTATATTCAGAGTTAGTGTTCTCCATTGAAGGTCCTTGAGCAGATCAGACCAACTCCTCATCAGTCCAGCATGGCAACTAGAATTATAGAAACATTTATGCTTGTCATGGCAAAACCGATCCTGTCTTGTCAATGAAAATTCATGCTGTAGATACATTTAATATCATGTGATCCTTCAGTTATTGTAGTTTGAAGTCTCAAAGCTTGAGCTATAAGAGTTGTTGAGCTGCCATGGGCTCGTGCACTGCGTGCTCTGCAGAAAAAGTGTTTGTGTGCGGTCTTGGTTTTTTTGCTCTTTGCTTGTGGTCTTTGAGACCTCTTCATACCAACTGTCCTTTTCATGTTTCAGGATCTGCAGGGCATCAAGGGCAGAACCCTGTGCTGTATAGATGAGGAGTCTTGTTTTGCACATTTTCTGTTAATCACAGTTATGGGAAG